GTTGTTCGTCGTTTGTAGCTAATGCTATCAAAGTTGCACCAAATGATTTTGTCAGCACTTCATCGTTTTTATCATTAACTAGCTGCTTACAGTTCATCAAAATGTTGAATGCATTTTCTGTTCGTAACTGTTTTAAACCAGTCTTGTCTCTCGACAAATTATAAACAATGGAAAATATTGGATCACCCAATTCGTCGATATGAGACGTAAATATGTCTGTGCGAATCCATTGAATACTTTTTTCGACATAACCAACATCAACGAACATGGGGATAAGTGCAATTTTGTCGGTCAGATTCCATATAAGACTTAAAATACTACTTATTACTTTTAGCAATGTCAAAGAAGCGTGCTTGTCCGCATTAGTCAGATAATCATGAACAAACTTCAGCAGAGAGATCATAAGAGAGTTGTAATTATTTCTGAATTCATACGCCGATTGAATAGTTGCTGTAGTAGTAAAGTCGCTGACACAGGCTATGTACACTTCTACGAGTTTGTTAAAATCGATCCTATTGTCTTGTGAGGATTCTTCACTGGTTGTGACAAAATCTAAACAATTCAAAGCACATTACCATCATATACAATATTCACTATACGCTATCTGATTTTTCATTAATATTCTATTAGATACTCTGATTCTTATTGATACATCCTTTCAACATAGATCCTCTACTATTCTGTCTTCAAACCTCTTCTACCATCTTGGAAATCAGGGTGTGGGGGGTGAGGGTGGGTGGGTGTGCGTGTTGGCATGGCTTTGGGTGTAATTGTGATTGTGGATGAAGAGAAAACTAACCCTAATACCGGCGCTCATCTGCAATCATACCATACTTCGGTACATGAATTCATTTCTTCGCTAATGATTACAGGGGTCAGACGTGTGTTTTATTTTTGTAGTTCTTTTTCACAAGAATCTAAGTCTAGGACTTGTTGATTGCGGTAGTAAATGAGCTCCTCAAGTGGACATCTCCTCAATGAAACTGACCAACAACAACCAGTATATATGCTCGATAAAAATCCTTGTTGAAATGCAATAATGATTCATGTTCTACTTGCGTCAAATAGTAAAGCATCGAAAAAACAGCAAATAACTTATTTTATTGTCCTAGTGAACTACCTACCGATCAATAGTCTGCAATTCTACGTCTGCTTGCAATCATTGTCTAACACCCAAATCATTGATCAATACTCGCCTGCTAGTTTGATAGCTCTTTACCAAAATCAACAAAAATAACTATCATCAACCATGAACAATTCGCCTGTACATGTATAACAGTCGAGGGTGCAGCCCAACATGAATCAACAGTAAGGCTTATGATCTTCATAACAACCAATTGTTATTATAAATGCGCAGCTTTTATCACTAATGACTAATTCGAAGATTTCCTTAAAATCCATATCGACTACAGCTAAGTGAGATCGGTCTCGGTTATTGGAACGATTAGAATTGAACGTACAAGAGTCAGTGTAACAAGAAAGAGCTGGATAATGTTGCTTTCTGCACAGATGAAAAAAATTTGTGCCACACATAGATGTACTCGAACAAGTACTAAGGCGGATTATCATGCATGAAGCTTCAAATGCCATAATAGTACGTAGCGAAAAAGAATTTTATTTTTTCGTTTTATCCTTAGAAAGTATTAAATCGAAGGTTCTAGTGAAGGCTATTCACTGGTCATGCTGACACAAAAAACGAATTAGAGAAGAATAACAGAGGAGAAGTAGTAAAAAAGGAAATCAGAGGAAGAGGAGAAGACAAGAAAAAAAGTGAAATATATAGCTTAGTAGGTGCTATTATGCCATTGGTGCATCTTGGGAATCTCCCACGAAGCAGTCTCACTGCTCTTCTCTCGTTCCACATGTGGACTGACTAGCTTCACTCTTCTAATATTCTGCTGTTTCTGTTTTCTATCTTCTGATGTCCTCTTTTTTCTTTCTTTTTTTCATTTTTGATCTTGTGTGTATTTTGTTTTAATTCAATACACTAACGGTACAAACGATTCTTGTACTCTATTACTTCTTTAGGGCTCAAGGGCAGGCTGAATTCTTATTTCCATAAAATTCAAAATTGGCGCATCATTAAAAAATGAATGTCATCAGCTACCGAAAGTTACTTTGGATGTATGCAACGCAATGGTATGAGATGTATAGCTAGAAATAGTCCGTCACACATTACATTCAAATAGTAGAACTTTTGTTCTGGGATTCGCAACAGCTGTGAAATTCATTTTAATACGATAAGTATGTAGAGAGATACAGTCTATAGGGTCTTAGTGTTTCTGTGGGAAATCCTTGTGAATGATACTGGTTGCCATCGTATACCAACATTCATACTTACACGTTATAGACTATATCTCTACATACGTTTCACATATTAAAGTGAGTTTCTTGCTCAAACCAAACTTTAAAACATGTTTAAGTGAGTTCTACATGCTATTTATATTAAAAATTATTTGCTCAGCTGGTTTCTTGGATGAATCATTTAGGTTTCTTGGAAATTTTTCTCATTGTGGTTTTATTTGAATTTCTTGGGAATAGGATCTTACTATGTCATGGCACGTACCAGAGATGGAACCGGTCTAGACCGATAAAACTGGCTTACGAATAATACATCGATTCTTACAGTGAAACTTCTTTTTAATGTATCTCTCGCAAGTTACAAATTTAGCTGATGATTCAGAAATATCATAACAATTACTTCATGATGCTGTTGTTCAATACGGCAGAGATGGAACTGGTCTACTTTTTCCCGGACCCGCACCGGTACCGGCCTGAAGATATCAGACCGGACCGGAGCGGCTGGTATACTGGTCTGCCGGTAAAAACTGGTCTAAATGGCTGACCGACCGAAACCCATTTACCCAAAAAAGTAGATCTGACCGGTCTATCGGCCAAAACTCACCTATCGGTACTAAACAGGATGCTGATGATACGTCATTTTATAAAAGAAAATCCAACCTACGGACGAAATATCGATCTACAGACAAGAGACTGAGGCTTGAAATGAACCGTGTTTCACAGTGAATTCGCTTGCGAGCTACTTTCGTACTTTCACGCATACTGGCGTAATGCTTCACCATTGATAACAATGGTCTCGCTGGTTAGCATTCCGAAAACTGTTTGTTAAATAAATTTCTGTGTGATCAGTGGGTTTAGTCTTGGGGCCAGTGGTTTTTTCATATGAATACCATCATAAAGCAGAAAAGTGAAAAATATAGATCGGTATAAGGCGATTTCGACCGATCGGATCGGTTTAGACCGATTCAGACCGATTTAGGCCGGTCTACCTGTAGACCAGTCGATCCAAAATTCAGACCGGTACCGGTTCCATCTCTGGCGCGTACACAGGTCTACTCTAAGAATCATGAAAACATTACCTTTGGTTGATACCGTCTTGTCTGAGAGGAGCCTCTTGAAGCATATTTCCGCAAGACCATCTTTAGCAAGGTTCATAAGAATAGATTCCAATATGTCGCTGGCACACAGTGGACAATAATCTTTTTGGTTAGGAATATCCCATATAAGATCCATTAATTGTTGAAACATTAATTGAAAAGGTGATCGTGAGATGATGATGCCAAACCCATCGACAGTACAGATGCGCATGATTGTGTTCAATATCGTAATGAGTAACATCGCGCTTCTCTGAAGAACCATTTGGTCGAATATTCGGTCGATATTCTCAGCCACATTATTAAAGATCGTATCTATCGTCGAGATATCCCAAGTTTCTCCTGTCGCATTGCAAGGACTATTCCAGGCAATTGATAAATTTAAAAGTTTGTCGATTTCTTGAAGAAGATTGAGATAATTAAGCTTTGTTATTTCCGATGTCGTCGAATCACTTTTTTCCATCTAAAATAAAGAACGCAGGTCACTAATACAAGCATTTTTAATACAATAAGTAACAACTGTGCGCAAAAGCCGTTCACTTTTCTTTTCACTCTTTTCGGTCCTGTTATATTTATTTGCCGAGCTTTGTTAATAGCAATTGTAAAATGTGCACTCCCTACCACTGACTAAGCTTGAGTTCGAACTCTGTAAGATGCAGTTTCGTGATCAACATGGCAAAAAAGAAAAAAGTGAAAAAGAAAGAGAGTCGCAAATGCTTGTTCAAACACTATGAAAAAAAGCGATGTGGAGAAAAATAATGCTTACTAGTTAAAAATAGTTACATATTTAAGTAGACACCTTCGCAGCAAATAAAAATTCAAATGCTGCCAGCTAGTGCCGATGTATTTTGGTATTTACACAGTCACTATGGACAGAACAGCAAAGAATAGACAAAGCCTTCATTCTAACCGCCTTCATTGGCATGCATCTTATGCATATTTACGTTGTCAACAACATGGTGACATTTGTATGAATTCGCTTGATTTGAAACTATAAGTTGCATTCATTCCTTTTTCTCTTGTTGAGCTGGTAAAAAGTAATCATATTCCAGTTACGTTTTTTAGAAGAAAGTTAGTCAATATCGGAATATGAACCTTTTATCTGAACCTGACTCGACATCTCATGATGTATGTACTCTGTAGTTCTGCTACTTTTCTTATTTTGTATGTTTTTCAATACCGATGATCAGTTGGTTTCTTGGCGTGTTGCGATAGACCGGTTGAACTTTCAGAAGCGAACATGTACGGTGTTCATCCCAAAAGAGTAAGTCCATATGATTATTTAAAAATCCTAATAATGAAAGAATATTCGATGACTTAGAACAAACAGCGAATCTTGCGTCTGCAACTATAATCACTCTAAAAATAACATATCTCAGTACAAAGAAATATGGAATTGGAAAAAACACACAAAGCAAGAAGATACCAAATGCTATGGAATATTACCCCAATCAAATAGTCCTGTACGGTATTTAGTTGTCTAATAAACGACAATGAGTTCGTTTTTTTTTATACAAGTATTTGCGGTGTGACATTGAGACAGAACTCGAACAACTCTGTTTCGTGTTGTTGGGTGTATGGGGTATAAGCATACCTGGCCTTATCATGCGAATGATGGGCGATGTAGATTCGACACCGAACATCAAAATAGAGAAAGAACTTTTACAAGGTATTGCCGACGCTGCTGTTGCATCTGGTAAGAACACACAGTAATAGAAATTCATAAAACAATACTTTCGAATTCTAGATGCATGGATTATTACAAATGGTTACAAGGAAGAGAGTATTTCAGAACTGATCGGTGAAGTAGTTTACAATAGTCGAATAAAAAATCCTGATATAAATTTTAGTGCGATTGCTATTGGTAAATGGGGTAATATTCATGATTGTCACAAACTCGAGGACAGGTTTGACAAACCGATTTTTTTATTTAACATCATTGAATAAACTCGTTTGTTAACTATTTCAATATTTTTTTCTGACTATTTTATATCACACCAGTCTTCAATATTATTGTTTCAGGAAACATAACACTCAGCCCAGAACCCATGAGGGTCATGGAAGATACAAGTTAGAATTAAACCACACTCACTACATTTTTTTCGATGATGGTACATGTGATTCACTGGATACCGGCGAATTCGCTTCAAACCTCGCTCGACAAATATCACGTGGAGCAAGACGTAGAAGTAAGCATTTTACTCAGCATATATCTCGTTAATGTTCCTCGTATATATTTGTTTTTTAAATTTAGTACCACTAGTTACTGTTCTCGTCGGTGGTGCTCTTCATGCACTTCCGTCGATATGCACTGATTTAGAAAAACTGATCCCTGTCATCATTGTCAATGTAAGTCATACATACTTGAAAAAAACTCAAATATTCAATGTTCCTCGGATTATATAGGGAAGTGGACCATTGGCTGATATATTATGTAAATACCTTAAGTTAACCGAAAGTGAGTGAAATGTTTTGAGGGAACGTCATTATCATTTAAAGTGCTGTGAGAAACCTATGTTTGTTCGCAAACAACCAAAGTAATTAACAACTTTAGAGAAGAAATATATAAGTTTTAAAAGTTTGAACCAAAATTTCGGTTCAAGCTAATGATTTATTCAAGAGTTTTTTGAAAAACAACGTTAAAAATATATGCCTCGGCAGGTCCTAGATTCTTGCCCTTCTCCTTCCCTATCTAATAACACAAACTTTAAATTGGCATTGAAGCTTAGACACTACTTTTCATTGGGCGTTTGGGCATGACAACAAAGAAAAAGATATAGGACCTGTAAACATTTCCGATGCTTGAAATCGGTTTTTGATGATATTACTGTCTGGCTTCTTATCAATAATATTGATAATATTGACAAAAGTATACTAGCCATTTAAATTTCGACCAAAGGTTTGAAGTATTCCGTAGCACTTGAAGTTTTGTCGTTCACGTCGTGCAATGTTTTTTTCGTTTTTTTGAACTAATCATAAGAAATCTAATGCCTGTTGTCCGGGCTACTAATCTCTATAGTGAGAGCAGTTGTCTATGATGGAGAGAAGAAAGCCACGAAACTTCGACTTAAAACTTATGCTAACTATTTCCTTCGAAAATATAAGTGAGTTCCACAAAATGAGGTTAAATACAGCCGCCACTTGTGAGTCTTGAATAGTTCACAGCTAAAACAGTTACCAGAGGAATAAATTTGGATAAATCGAGCTGCAACCGTCAAGAAGATCAGATTTTTGCAGTAGTCATTGCTGAATTCTAAGTATTTTGAAGTCACTGCCTCAGAAGTCTGAGGGCTTCGTACTCACCAATGTTTAAACAGGAAAAGATTATAATAAATCCAACCGCTGTCACGGTTGCTTCACACTTGTGCAGTCATTGTCGAAGCCGCAGACTTTACACTAGCTGCTGGTGGCAGAGAAAAAATTTGGATCAATTAAGCCTTCGCAGCCGATTTTTGCATGAGCTTTCACCTGTACCCATCATTATATTTTAGAGAGACACAATTTTAAAGATTTTCTCTGATGAAATCCGCTACCTTTGATGAAAAGCATCTCTATACGGAGATTGTATGTGTGGGTGTAACGTCAGCGGACATTTCCTTCAAAGACCTACTCATTCACAATCTCACAACTATTATTACGGACATTGATATTTCAAATATGTAAAAAGGTCTAGAAATCTGGAGAGCACATACATAATTAACTAAAACATCATTTCTAAAGAACTACGAAACAATTTTTGATGTAACCGATGAAGACTTTATTCCTTGCTAGGTGAATATAACTAGAATACACTCCAGCCGCCGTTTCACTCGAGGATATTATCAATCGATAGAGCTTCACAATCTGCATCCATGAAACCTTGCAACAAATCATTTGCTTTAAAAAATCTTTGAAAAAAATCAAATACTCTTTCGAACGGTCCATACCAGTCCATCCTAGGGTACTCGCACCCATCCTCATACAGATCTCGAAAAGCTAAATAGAATGTAGTTATGAGTGTTAGTACCTCTTTATGGACACTCATATCCAGATTCAACCTCATTTCATTAATTATATATATGAATAGATAGTTTCGAGAAAAGAGAATGAAGAAATCATTGAAGAGCTACGAGGGACGTAATCATAAGTTAAATAGGTTCAGAAATATTAAAGATTGGCTTTAAAAACTTTTTTTCTTGTCGAAAATTAGTTTTCTGTTTGAGATCCGGATGGTCATCGGTGATAGTGCCTTAGAATGAGCTGAAGTAGGTCGTTCGAAATAGCATGTGATTGTTTATCAAAGCTTTTTAAAGAAAACGGTTGAGAGTGGAGTCTCATGGATATAGAATTTGAAGCTTTATCGATTGATAATATCTTCGAGTTTAACGACGGTTAGAGCATATTTTAGTAAGACCTGTGTTAGGTCGTACAGCAAAAATCATCTTAAAGATATGCGCAGGTGTTCGATGCACATTTGGTGACACATACTAGTTATATTCTTCATCTAAGAGACCAAAAGGGAAACTTTAAATACATGTACAGATGACACTTGCAAAATACGTATCAGATAATGTGTCTGTTAAGCAAGCATCTGCAAAGGTCGCAAGTATCATTAGAAAACCAATGAATCATATTACGTTTGAAAGTATGTAATTAGGGTTATATAACTTATGCGACGATCGAAAGCCATAATTCTAGACTAAAAATCAAAATTTTGACGAAAAGTCTTTATATGTTTTCATTGAAGGTTTTTATAAATCATCAAAAAAAGAAAATCAGAAGACCACTGATCACGATGAAGCACTTAGTGACTATGAAGATGATATGGATATAGCAATGATTGATGAAGTGTTTCCTCAAGATGGTGCTGAAATTTCATTGTCATCAGCTCAAAACACGTAAGTTGTCATAGCAGAACCGATTACTGGTTAATATGCTATTCGTGCCCATAGTTTAAGAGACATTTTGCGGCCGCTTGGCAAATATCGGGTCGATTTTATCAATGATGTGCGACGACTTTACAACATCATCCTACAGCAGGAGTATGAAGCACAAGGAAAAAGGTTACCTATGGGTGAACTATTCAACTTAAAGGAAGAAAAAGCTCTTGGACAATACTTATATCAGTTTGCGAGATGTTTGAAAGCTCCTTTTCGAGACAATATCCATGTTTTCAACATCAATTCATCGAAATCCTTAAAGGAAACAATTTATTATGCCTTCATTCAAGGTAAATCCAGATAATAAAACTGAGCTTTAGTGTCGTATTGTGCACTTGGAAACCGTCAAAATAAGCTACAAGTAGACCAAAGGAAAGGGCCAGCTAACTTATTCGAAATTTCAAGAAGCAGAGTCGCTTAACAGTTCTTTTTTTCTTACATGATAGGGAATTGGAATTCTTAATTTTGAATGCAGAGTTTTATTTTGTGAAACTACAAGGATGTGTTGAGCAGTATTATATATGAGTTCCGTAACAACGAGCCCCATAATACGCTTTTCTTTGTTAGCAAGGGACAATCTTTCACGAACCAAGAAAAAGTACCACACGACTATCGATGAACAAATACATCTAGCACTTCGGTGGAGCATTAGCGAGATGATAGAAAATCAGTCAGTGACTACTGTAAAGATCTGGAACGATACTAATAAAGTAAGCGTTTATATTATGTTATTTTGATCTGCTGATATACTTCTTTTCGTTCTAGATTGAGCAAAACCGGTTGCTCCTGATCGATGCACTTAGCAAAAATTTGCTTGTGTTTGTCATTAATTTCGTGAAATTCGACATCGATTTCACAGTTTTGTTTGGTCCTACTCGTAATTTATTGGCTAGAGTTGCCACTCATTGGTGTCTCAAACATCATTATCTAAAAGAATTGTACTCGCATACAAAGCGCAAAAATGTAAGATGAATATGTATTTGTATTGAATGCTGATATTACAGAATATTTGGTTTTTTTTTGTGCAGCGAGACCCATTGTATTTGCTGGATCGAATCAGTTCCACATTGAACTTCACAGAGGAAAAGCATTTAGTTATTGTTTTAAAGAAACTGGTAGGTGATATTATGCATCCACTCTACGAGGATCAATCGAAGCCTGCATTGACGACATTGAACACAGATGTAGATGTTGATATAGAGAAGACAGATGCGGAGTACATTTATCGGGATCTCTTTCTGTGGTGTGTGCTAACCTACCGACTTGATATGGCTAAAATCTTTCTGAGCCAAATGAAAACTCGTATCTGTTCGGCACTGATCGCTTCTAAAATTCTCAAATCACTAGCAGCCTATGCACCGGATCAAATTGCAAAAGATACACTGTATTCCAAAGCGGGTGATTTCGAAACATATGCCATCGAATTCGTACGGTGTTCTTACATCTTTGACAAAAACCAAGCATGCGAATTGATTATGCGACGCGTGGATCTCTATGGAGGTATCACGTGTCTTCAAATGGCTATCGCTGCAGATGATAAGAAATTCTTACATGAAGATGCCTGCCAAGCTCTGTTAACGAATATATGGTATGATAAAGTCGATCCTGTTAGGGAGCAAACAATTCTTGTTATCAATATACTTACATTGGGAATCTCTCAACTTTTCATATCGATTTATCAAAAATGCTTTTCTAAATTTTCTAGAAAGAAACAAGAAACTCATGTAAGTTAAACACGTTTGCACTATAAACATGTTATCTTTTTGTTCATTGATAGGCAATCACAACGGAATATCCAAAAAGACGGTATGTATTTAGTACAACTAATAAGAATGCAATATCCAGCAATAACTATTCAAATAAAAAATAACCTAGATTGAAAAAACATGGCATCGATTATACTGATGATTATTCTATTAATGAAACGGTACTTCAACATTTTTTCCATTTTCATAATCGACCCATTGTCAAATATTGTTATACATGTGTAAGTCAATTACGGTGTAATTTGATTTTTGCCACATTGTGATATGGATCATTTTAGTTTGGCTATGTTCTCTTCTTGTTTTTCTTCAGTTATTATATGCTCTGGGCATTCAGCCCACTTTCAAAAATGACTCCCAACATTCATTGGACAGAAATATTAACTATCATAACCGTGACTACCATGCTTTTCGAAGAAGTTCGGCAGGTCAGTGCTTCACTTTTGAGTAATGCTATATTAAAGCTAAGTCTTTGGCTGATTAGTTCTTCTCTCAGGACGATCGATCGCTGATGGGCAAGATATACAGTTATTTTGACTTGAATAATCGAATATCGAACTTATGTCTGGTTCTACCAGCATATCTTCTCTTCTATATTGGACTTGTACTTCGTTTTACACAGACAGATACCGAAGGTTTTGCATCTGCAAGGTACACTTCATGATTAGTTTAACATTCAAAGCGTTCTACTCTATTTTTATAGAATAGTGATGGCTTTAGATTTGGAATTGTGGTTTATTCGTTCGGTTCTGTTCATCGGTATCGCTTCAAGTCTTGGTCCCAAACTCGTGATGATTCGAAAAATGGTACGTTTATTGCATGAGTATTATTGTAAATTGTATCGTTGTCTTTGTAGACAAATGATCTCTTACTATTCATTATTATCATCGTTATTTTCATTTTCGGCTATGGAATCACATCAAGATCCATGATCGCTTATGGAACAGTCGATTTTAATAGCCGAAAGTTTTTTCGTGATGTGGTATATCCAGTTTATTATTTCGTTCATGGAGGCTTTGATAATGAACGTACACAGCTGGAAGGTAGGGATACCGCATGAAAAGCTGACTAAATGTTCAGCTCATTATTCGTTTATTGCTTCATTTAGCCACACCGGATGCTAGTGCTACCATAGTCACTCAGGTTGTGTTCGCTTTTCATATGCTTTTCGTCAATATACTATTAATTAATTTATTGATTGCTTTGTTCAGGTATGTAAAACTGAGAAGCTTAATCTGAATAACTATGAATACAAGTCGTTGTTTAGTTTCAAAATAAATGACGTCCAAACACAAGCGCGTTATGTTTGGGCCTACGACCGTTGTGACATCATTCGTAATTATCATGCCCGACCAGCATTGTTTCCTCCGTTCACATTTTTCATCTCAATTGTACAATACTGCCAATGGTGTTGGAGAAAATTTTACAGAACCTACTGCGTTAACAAAAAGACTCATCATGAGCAATCCCAATGTTTCAGTAAGTAACATTAGCAATTTTGACTGGACCAATTAACAGATCAAATAAACGAATGTTTCAATTAAAAGCTCACATATTTATCCAATTATATATTTTTTCAGAAATGATTCCGATTAATGACACTATTGATCATGCATGGTCAGAATTCGAACGATATTCAACAAACGATTACATGCGACAATTGCTTGATGCCCAAGCTGCCGTCCTTGCCAATGGAATGATGACCGCAGACATGATGTAAGTTTTGAGAATTTTTTTTCATCTATTAAAAAGTTTAGCATTCAAAATCTCGAGGACTTTCAATTAGAAGCACTATATTGGGTTTCTATCGCAAAGATGTGATTGTCAGAAAAATCAAAGTTGAAATTCAATCAAAATCTTGTAATTAATTGAAAATTGAATCAGATTTAAGTAGATTTTTTGATTCAAATCGTTTTTAATCCAATCCATTGACTTTACTCTTTACATTACGATTATAGATTATCTTAGCTTACATGCGTAGTTTAGACTATCGACGAACAGAAAAAATTGAGTATATTAGGAAGAAGGATAAGTGTGAGTCTTCACTTCATTCACAAGCATACATTTGGTTTTCTTATCTTTGTACACGGGAAGAACAATTTTTTAGTACAGGGTTCTTTATTCAAATCTTCGTTAGTTTTTGTTTCGTTGAGCACATTAAGTGTGCATTATGACTTGATGTATGCAAAAAAGCCAGATAAAGGAATCAACCAAAAAATTTAAAATGTATTTTCTTCATCATGTACCAACTATTCACGAACTATCAGTTCCTATCAAACGTATTACCCATCAAGTTTTGACGACATGGTCTATATGTAATAATTGTTCTGTCACAAATCTGCAAACAATCAATTGAGCCCATACTCAGACACAATGTTACAATACACATGATGGTGATGCATGATGGAGAAAACACATCACTTCGCTGGTTGCCACTGTGTTTTGACTATTTCATATAGAACAACATGCAGTGCATATGTAATATACTCAATAAAACCCTGGAAATCTTGTCAGAATGGCTCATTGCTGGACCAAACTGTGGAACTTACAGACTCTAATTTCTATAAATTTATAATATATTGTCACAAGGTTTTAAAGTATTTTTTAAAAAATGTCAAATACACGGAAAAATCAAAATCCTAACAATTTTTATAGATGATAGGCGCCCTCTGAAATTTTATGATTTCGACAATGCCGGCATTTATAATTACTTGTCTACCAATTTATTTGATCCGTGTAACATGGTTATACTGCAAAAAACTTATTTCTATGGACAGATACATCTTCAATATCTAGCTTCCGTGTTCTTAACGATAATAATTCTATAGTA